AGGATGTAAGACACAGAAATAAATGCGGGTGGTTGAAGTAAAAAGAAGCGTCTGGTGTCTTATGCGATAAAAGAATTCCAATGAGGCTGAAAGGTAAATTTTAAATTTTAAGACTGCAGTGAGACCATCTATGATGTATGGTTCAGAGTGTTGGGCGGCTGATAAGAAAGTAGAGCAGAGAATGAGTGAAGCAAATTTAATACACTACTAAATTTTCTAGTTAATTAATAAAAGTTTACACTGACTGATGATTTATTCAGAATAACTTAACAAATTTTATAAATACATATAATTCCCACACTATTAACTGCATTAAAATATTACAACAATAAGACGTGTTTTAAAAGAGCCGATTATTAAAGAATTACTTATAACACATTTTAAGTGTTTAGAATCAGTTGTGCAAAAGAGCGGTGGTATTGACGAGGATGTACGACACAGGATTATGTGCGGGTGGTTGAAATGAAGAGAAGTGTCTGGTGTATTATGCGATAAAAGAATCCCAATGAGGCTGAAAGGTAAATTTTATAAGAGTATAGTGAGACCAACTATAATGTATGGTTCAGAGTGTTGAGCGGTTGACAAGAAAGTAGAGCAGAGATGAGAATGCTTAGATGGATGAGTGGAGTAACTAGAGCAGATAGGATAAGAAATAAGCATAAAGAGGAAGTATAGGTGTAGCGTCAATCGTGGATAAGATGAGAGTAAATAGACTTACATGGTTTGGTCATGTTATGAGGAGAGAAGAATCGAAAGCTGTAAGAACAGTTATAGAAATGAATGTTGAAGGAAGAAGAGGTAGAGGAAGACTAAAAAAGAAATGGAGGGATGCTATTGAATGCGATTTGAGGACAGCTGATGTGAGCGTAAATGATATGGGAGATTGTGTTAAGTGGAAGTTTAGGGTAAGGGTGGCTGACCCCAAGTAGTTGGGATTAAGGCGAGGAAAAAGAAGAAGAAGAAGATTTGAAAGTTCAGTGTATATTATTAACACTACATCCAGTTTTTTAACTTAAGTGTTAGTTTACGGACATTAGGTACACAATTTAACAATTTAATGTTATTTAAATTATTTATCAAATTATAAATGATTTATACTTTAAAAAGATAAATTTCTAATTTGAAATTTTTAGCTCGACTGTAATTAAGTAATGTTTTTTATAATCGTATAATTTTTTTCTAATAGCTTTTTTATTACACACAAAAATACATTTATATTCTTTAAATGATACATACGGTTATGTTAAAACCAAATAGCTTTTTCTAACATGACAAATCAACTCATTTTTTTTTTTTTTTTGACAAAAATATTAAAGACTTTAATCTGTTAAAAACGAATTTTTGATCTCTAGAAATATTATTTTGGAAATAACCACTCATATAATTTATTATTTTACATGTAAATTTATTGGCTTGAAATTTAATTATATTTTATTGTTAATTAATAAACTATAATTTATTTTCAATAAAACTTGAGAGAAAAACAAATTATTTTTTTTTGAAATGCTCATACCCTAAACATATTATGATAGCTTTTTGTCTATAGTTTTCATTTAACGTAAAATTAAATAAACTTGAATTTATCATAAATTTATAATGGGTTCTTAAAGTAACCATTTTTTTTTGCTCCAGGTTCACTATTTTAATCAATAATATTAAAGTTGTATTTTTATAGTAATACTGCCGTTTGATCTATTGTGAACTAAAAGATAAAACGTAACTCAATGATTTTAAATTTATGTAGCCCATAAAACATTTTTATAATTCATCTCGGTTGTTAAATTATTATATAAAAAGTTTAACAATTAAATTTACTTCTAAAATACCTATAGCAATATAAAAAGATATTAAATATAAAAATGCTGGAAATTTATTACCAGGTCTCGGAACTTTATGAATTTATAAAGTTTATTTTAATAATTTCAAGTACATTAATGATTAATATATATTCATATTAGTTAATATTAACATTAAACAATGTATATTAATTATAAATTTAGTTTTGGTGGGTGTAGGGGATTAATCACTCCGGAAAATCCCCCCTTGTATTTCAAACACAAGGATTACATTCATAAAATAAAAAATTTGAACAGCACTTTGTATATTTTATAGTTAATTTTTTATCAATAGCATATTTTTCAGGAAATACGTATAACTTAGCATTAAAAAAATAAAGATAAATTTAATTGTTTTTAATATAACAAGATTGCAGAGAAAACGTATACTACTAACACTTGGTTCCTGAAACATGAGTATATTTTTACTGATATGAATTGTACAGAGATCAGAGAAATGTGACACATTACTTCAGTTGAACTCTTAAACGAAAAACGTCTAGTGCTGAACAAGTCTCTAGAGACAAAGCATCACGCCTTGCAGTATACAACGAAAAGACTAATACTACCACAAAGATATCAATTATATTTGAGTTTGTAGTAAGTAGAGAAGTTGGCTCAGTAAATTTTACCGAGTTAAATTTACGGGTAAAAATAAATTCACGTAAACTTTATAGTACCCAATTTTTTACTGATATTTTTTTTTTACATAATTATTTTGTAGTGGAAAATATAAGTTAAATACAGAATAGTAGATTTTTGGTTAAATACTTATTAATGTTCTTCAGTATGTATTAAAACGTTATTTATAATAAATATGTTCTACAATCTACAAATACTTTAATTAAAATGATTTTATTTATGCTGTCTATATCTCAATTTGATAAATATTAAATAGCATAAATAACATTTATAGATTTTCGGAACTGCACACAACTGTGTTAAGTGTTACACATATCATCAATGATTTATTTATTATAGTAATATGGAATAAGATTTAAGAAAATGTTTTGTTTATATCAATCAATAAAAATATCAACTTTAATAATTTTTATTTATTTTCATAGTATGAATCAATTTATAATTATAAAGATGTGTAATCACAAATTTTATTGCACTTGATATTTTTAATAATAATAATTAAAAATGTAACAACTATAATAATTATTTTTATACTTTATTTTAGTATAATTATGCTGTTTAAAATGTTCATACTAGTTTTGAAAATATTTATTAAATGTATGTATATACACTAGAATAATGGACGTTTTTGTGAATTTATGAAGAAATTTAAAGTAAGTAAAAATAATTAAAGGTAATCTATACTGTATTTGTTTAGAGCTTTAATCATAATTTGGAATTAAAAAGTTTGGTTTGCTTTAAGAAAGTTTTTACTCATTAAAAAGTTTCAATTACAATAATAAAAAAATTATGTTTCTAATATGTAACATATATAATCATAAGTTCTAAATCAAGAGGAATTATTTTATCAGTTACTGTAAATTGTACTGATTTAAACATTTTGTTAAAATATTTTAATATAGACTTGTATATTCACAATTTTTATATTTTTACGCTTACTCGACACTTCTGTTTCGTTCCATATATCTGCCAAAATATTTTTAATTTTAAGCTTAAAATGGATTTTATTTCGACATAGAAACTTTCAAAATAACGTACTCAAAAATTACGTATTAAACAATAATTATTATTAGTATAACATGATAATAGTTGAAAAATGTTGCCTTCATTGACTTTATTTAATATTGAGACCTAATATACATGTCATGTAAATCGGGAATCAGTTTACGTGATAAAGGTTATTTAAAATTTAGATTATCAACCATTGGTGGATATTAGAAAAGTTTAAGGAATAAGCTCAAAGTCTGAAATTTCAAAACCTCTTATATCATAAAATTATTTCTATTTTTATTTTATTGAACGTTAGCGACTTCAGATTGCTTTATTTAAGATTATTCTAGTGGCATCAAAATTATATCAAATGTTCTTTATGTTATTATATATACCTGCTCTCCAAATCACTTCATAATTTCTATCGGTTCTAACCTCTATATTATTTTTACTAAGAAGAAAATATTTTCAAAATCATTCATGAGTCTACATTAGTACAGTTTACTAATAATAAAATTTACCTAACAAATGTTTTCAGAGAAATTTACTACTTTATTTCGTGTAACGAAAAGTAATCGGCGTAATTTACAGAAAAGGCCATTAACAAAATTGACACTTTCGATTTGTTTTCAATTTTTAAAAATTTTTCGGAACGTTTGTCATATTAACCCTATCTCGAATTATAACTTTTTAAATGTAAAAATAAAAACGTCACGGTTGTCTTCTATGAGTATTTGGCTGTTAAATTATAAACGTTAAATAAAATAAAATTTTTTTTTTTTAATAATGGCGTCGAATCATTAAAATAATTACTATTAATTTTATAATTAACAGTAATGTTATCCTTTGTCAGACATCAATTTATAGTGAAATTTACTAAGCAAGGTCCTGGTATTTTAGATCATAGTTACTGTTCGGCGATTTATATAGGCAATTATAGTGCTCATACGAACACAAGAAAAATGCATTGAGTGCGGAGTATATGATACACCACTGACTTGTATTAATTTCCAATACAATTTAACGTTATTGTGAAATTTTCAAAAAAAAATTCGAGTCACATTTTTCAACTCTCATTTTTAATAATTTATATTTGTCTCTGTTATTTGTAAAGTATTTCATAATATAAAAAAACAATTTACCTAGAAATTCCACCTAAAAACATTGTGGCGAGCTGATTATATATGCGTATAATCAGACTTTGACAAACAGAGTGATGATAATGATGATGATGTTTTGGGAGGCTGACAATGAGGAGGGTATTGATCATCAACTACCGCGGTAAGTCAGGCCAAGAGGGAGGAAAGGGTTTTTGCGGTACGGCGATGCTTTGCCGACTCGTACAGGTGTCCCGTTTTGGCCGCAGTTCCGTGCGTGCGCACCACGTGCGTGTCCGCCGCCGCCGCCATCAGAGGGTCATGAGCGTGTGTGTGCGTGTGCGCGCCATTAAAAGCGGGCCACGGATGGCGCGGGCACGCGCGCGTCCAAAATACTACGGTGACCGCGGGCAACTGGCGTCGTGCGCTCTCTACGCGGACGGCCGTAGGTACCCCGTCAGCAGTATCGCACACATTTACGGGGTTCGCGGCCGCCGGACGACGCACGCCGCCGGGTTTGCAACATCTGAAACGCGCGCATTGCAGACATTGCCCTCATCACTACCGTCGGCTACAGCAGTACGAACTTCCGGAGTAAACGGTAGCCGTCGTCGACCCAGTCGCCGGCATCGGTCACATCCAACACGTTCGGGAGGCTGCCCGCCATCGTCGTCGGTGATACAGCCGGCGGGCGCGAAGCAACAGCTTGCACACATCAGGTAAGCTCCACCACTCTCTCACCCGCCGCCGATTTAACCGTTACAATAATATCACTAATACCGCAGCATTTTTGAACTTTAGGTCTTTTTATTTTTTCTCAATTTAAAATTTCACTCTACACAAAAAAAAAAAAAAAATTGGCAAATTTTATTTTCTACTTTTTTTCATCATGAAAATTGTTTCAGTCGACGTTCATCGTTAATAATGCCGAAATAATAATTTAACCGTCAAATTGTGAAAGTATAGTCATACAAATTATAAGATACTTAAACGTTAAAATTGTTTTCATGAGTAATTGGAAAGCGACAAGTTATCAAAATAATAATGCATTTTTAATGTAAATCACAAATCCCACTCGATTATTTATATATATTTGTTCCTTCAATTCATAACTTCTGATATCTATCAATAAAAATAAACTTAATCTTATTGGAAAGTTATAATCAACTCATTTCGATCTTAAAGGATTTTAAAGGACCTTTAACCTCTATAAATATAAAACATCTATTACTATTCTCTTACTATTCGTTAAAATAATTTATTTACAATCTAAAATGTTATTTCTATAATTATATATATAGAATACTATCCGCAATTAAACCAGAAAATTAAAGTAACGTCAACTTTACTGGATTAGCGACTTACCCAACTTTACTCTAATTATGATAAATAATAACTTAAGAGATCATAATATTTATTTTATACCGTGTGGTCTATTAAGTATACTACTCCCTATTTTTGTTAACGAATGATTTTTTTCATAAAAATGAACACAATAAAAAGGGCAACATTTTAATGAACCATAGTAATTCTAGTTTATTTTAAGAAAAAATTATTTTTAAGAGTATATTTTAGGGATGACTTTCAAAAGTTAAAAAAACGTTATTATTTTTTTTACCATTAAATGGTATTTAGAAATAGAATGTAAATTAAAAAATATTTACTCCACGCCTGTGAGTAGATGATAAATTTAACGTACTTATAAATAATTAATTTTTCTTAAAAAAAAAATATTAATTTATGAGCTTTTTATCAACTGGTCTAAATATATCAAGCTGTATTTATATCAAATTTCAAGTTTTCATAGTGAATATTTTTTGAGATATTAATATTTAAAGATTTACAAATGGCGAGTGAGATAATCTTTAGATATGTATATTTTTTTACCATAACGTTCAGATAAGAAATTCTTTTAAGCCGAATACTTCTCTCGCCTTACACTAAAATTTATGTTAACTAAAAAAATGAATTTATAAAACTAGTTATTGTCCAGTCTAAATATTATTTAGACCATTTATCATTTACTGGAAACAAAATAACAAGTTTTTATTTAACTTTCGAAATTTACTCCTAAAATCTAACCTTAAAAATACATTTTTTTTATAATAAAATTAAAATTTTTATGGTTCATAAAAAAAATTAACTTTTAATTTGTACATTATTATGAAAAAAAAAAGAAAAGAAAATGAATTAACAAAAACATTGGTGGTATTATTATTAAACAGTAATAAAGTATCAAAAATTGAATTATTAATGAAAATATTTCTTTTAGCTCAACAAAATATAATGGAAATATTTAGGTTAAATAAAATATAAAATGTTTGTTATTTGAATAGTGGTTTTTTTTAATTTATCAGTGATAGTCATCAACTCATTTTTTTATTTGGGATTAGACTAAAAGCCTGAGAATAATCACTGGGATTATTTTACTTTTTTTTACGAAATGAAGTTGAAATTTTGCATGAGTATTCATTGAATTTAAGAGGCATGAATTGATTTTGAAATAATAAAAAAATATTCTGCTTCCCTTCAAATGCCTAATAAAAAATAATAATGTTATGATTGAAATCAAATTAATTGTATGATTCTGTGATTTTCATTATGAAAATAAAGCCGGTTATTTTTTCTTATAGCTCTTATTCAAATTTTTCACGCTTAACAAATTCTTCAGGTTTTTTCATTGTCATAGATACGTAGGTTTTAGGTGTTATTAATATCTCCAAGTATTTTTTTTTTTTTGACATTTAGAATTACAGTAAAAGTTTTTCTTGGGCACGTGGTAATAATTTTTCCTTGAAATAAAGAGCTTAAGGTTTTTTCTTTAACACTAATGGTAGGGGGGTATAATTCTTAAGAAAGTGTTTTATAAACACTTGTTTTATTTCTTTATTATTTAAATTAAGTTTTTCCGGTTTAAATGAAATCCACTATTATACGTATGAATTATACAATATTAGGTACAAATTTAAAAAAAAATTTGATATTAAATGCAAATGTTTTCATGGATATATAGCTCCAAATTTATGTACAAAAGCAATAAGCATGATAGGTTTTATAATTTTTTAGCTTTTATTTTTGATATCATCTTAGTTTAGTTTTGTTATAGTTTTTTTATGATAATTTTCCTCCAAATAATGATTAAAAAATGGTACACTGTGAAAAATAATGTACAAAATTTTTTAAGTCAGTATGATATTTTTAGTATACATATTAATATTACACACAAGTAGTGTAATTCTAATACAAAATATCCAAAAGTAGTGCGCAAATATGTAGTTTTTCTTACTATTTATTCAAATTTTTGCTTATATTGTCTATTTTAAAAACTTCTATTACATGTATATAAAAACTCGGACATTTATTTATAAGTATGTACTTGTATTAACAGTAATTGTAAAAAAGTATGCTATCAATTTAATCATAAATTTGTATATTTTAAGTACATTTATAACATTATGATAATTGAAAAAAAATGTTTCTGAAATCTATCAAACATTAGTTGGGTTAGTATATTATATTTATTCAATATTTGTCAAGGAATTTGCAGTTTAGAATAAGTAATGAACAGATAAATTACATTTTTCTTTTGCTTACTGAAAATAATGATTAATATTTGAAACTTACTAATGAATATATAAACTAAAATGTTTTGCTTACTGATTTAGTATTGACAAATTATGCATATTTTTTATTCATAAATCTTATTATATCCTCTAATAAGAAATCATGATCAAATATTTTAAGGCTTTTAACAATTTGCATTTTTTGACAGTTTTATTCGCAAACACCTCAACAAAATCCGAGTTATTAATTACTTGGTGGTTATTACTAAGCTTACTCTTATAAGAATGGTCTATATTTAATAAACATCTAAACTAGTGATATAATCGAATAGTAACTATCGAACTATTTTTAAAACTGTTCGATTGTTATTGAAATATTTGATAGTTAATGAAAAAGATATGCTACGGTTGTATAAAAACAAGTCGATTAGTTATTTGATAATTTTTTTAAAATTATCGAATATTATTTGATAGTTTAAAATATTCTAAAACACTCATCTTTAATCTTTACATATTAAATGTTTACATAACATGTTATGCTGTTAACGATAATGATTTTATGAAATGATTGCATTGCATTTTATAAGTGATTGTAATTTCTGTTTTCATTGAATATTCCTATATTAGTGATACTACAAGGGTGTTTGGAGGGCGAAGCTCCCCATGGATCTGTATTAGTAGTCTAGTTATGCCTATGTTACATTCTTATTTTGAGATATGAACGATCATTATAAAATGTAAAATTGTAATTATGATCATTATTGAGGCCTTATAGAATATTAGCTATAACGTTGCCATTGATATTGATTCCCACCTATCATTCGCGTGACGGTCACGTATACCACAATTAATAATCGTAGGGAACATTATCAATCAAACAGTCACCTGTTGTACACAACACATATTACACGTAATTTTAAGGCTAGAGTTAGTTTTTAGGAAAATTAATGTGCGTTTAACAACGTTTTCTAATTGTAAAATAATTTTGTTAAGCCATATTAATAGTTTTGGCCAGTAGAGCCTGTCTAAATTGTAGTTGTCAAACTATTAGGATTTTTAACTTTTATTGTTGTGTGCTATTTTATTCACCTTATTTCTTATGTGTTAAACTTTTTCAATAATCAATTTTATGCAGTGAATTCTAATTCAAATAATTTATTCTTTTAAACCGTATATTTACCTCATTTATACCATAGACTTATAACTCGTACTTTAGTTCTAGTCATTTTAGTTTTTAAGTTATCCATTTCGTCAGAGGAGCTATTCATTGAAACTATTGTTGTTAGGAGATATTATTACACATTATTTATCATTACATATAATATAATATNTTAGTTCTAGTCATTTTAGTTTTTAAGTTATCCATTTCGTCAGAGGAGCTATTCATTGAAACTATTGTTGTTAGGAGATATTGAAATGGTATTTAATTTATTTTACAAATTAAAATAATTGGTTTTGATTACAATTTGTTATCATTTAGAAGTATTTATTCGTTTCTGTATTAAATAACAATTTAAAAATATATATAAATATCAATATATACAAAAATAAAACATATTCATTTCTATGTACTATTTAGTATGTGTATGATTAGTGGTATTGATATTTCTAACCTTAATTTCAGTTGTATTGGTGATGAATTGTTCGTTGATGTTGGAGTTCTAATATAGTTGACATTTGTGTGTACTTATTCGCTGTTCTCTCAAACATTGTTTGTTGATATTTCCATTTTATTCCTCATGACAAAATCTTATTGTTACTAGTTAGTTTTTATTTAAAGAGAAAAGAAAAACAACGTGTTCATATTTTAATACACAGATATCATTTCGTATTTCATTTTATTTCTTTTAAAACATAACCAACCAACTATATTATCTTCTTATCACTGTGTTAGGCATGACAACATTTTTTCAGCGCCGCCACCACATAACGCGAATGCAAAAGTCCCACACGATGTTGCCGCATATTATACAATAATACGAGTAATCATACAATAATAGTACATTTACAACATTTCGTCTAAACTGTACCATTACAATATTATTACACATTATTTATCGTTACATATAATATAATGTGTGCATAATAATATACACATTATTACAAAAAGAGTGAGTTGAGCATGTTATGTATTGAGAGATTTTTAATAGTTATTG